AGGAGGAGAGCGCCATCGACAAGGAAGGTGGGGGCCACGAGGTCCGCCGGCTTGACGACGCCCGCGTCGCCCGCGCCCGCCCCCTCACTCTTATCCGCAATTGCGGGGTGCTATATAAAAATACCCTGTGGTTCTTGCAAGACTTCGAAAGATCCCGAGCGCAAGTTGTTGTTGGATATCCGTCTTGCGAAACCACGGGTTGTATGCTTTCGGGGCACTCGATCTTGAAATCCTCACGAAAGCTAAGGTTGTTGAAGGATTTGGGCCTGCAAGCGCGACAACGCCTCAGGTGCACTTCGTCACATGTGATAAACGAGTGCGCGCGCAGTGCATGTTCTGCAGAGGATGGGGGGGTGTCGATACCAGCCTGGCTGGGATGGTACGTATTCATATTCAGGATGACCGATGCGGCAGGATCAGATGCAAAGCGCAACACGAAAAAAGGGTGCGGTTTAAATCCAGCGGGGGTACACCTTACAACTCTGCTGCTAGAAAAGAGAACCGATGTTCTAGACGATGGGGTGACGACGGGGCGGCGACGGCGACACCATAGTCGCCAGACCGCCCGCCAGTCCCAGACGACGGTCTGCGACGAGGTGGCGACGGGACGGCGGCGGCGGCGACAACATAGCCGCCGGACTGCCAGCCAGGCCCACACGGCCAGCGGCGACGAGGCAGCGACGGGGCGGCGACGGCAACACCATAGTTGCCAGACCGCCAGCCGGGCCCAGACGACGGTCGGCGAGAAGGCGGCGACGGGGCGGCGAGGGGGCGGCGACGACGACGACATCGACGCCAGACGGCCAGCCAGGCCCAGCTCCTCAGAGCAGAAGTAAGAACCCCTAATTGCATGCACTGCTTGGGGAACAAATGGCTTTAGCTCCCAGGCCATAGGACCCTACGCGAGAACACACATGGCTTCAGCTCCCAGGCCAATTCATCCGATGTGAAAACACATTGCGTCAGCTGCCAGGACACCGCGAGAGTCTAGATCCTCATACGCGTTACAATATTGAACCACCGGGATGTGGGAGATCCCATCGGAAGAAACGGTTGACCCTCACAAGCCAACTTCACATGAAGAGTATGTTACATTTGCTAGCCCTGGATGTTCCCGATTCCTGGGCGCACGGGCCCCTTTTCGCCCGTAGTTCACAGGCCATCGCATCCTATTTGGTTTCAACTCTCCAGCCGTAAGATCCGATGTTAAACACATGGGTGCATATCCCAAGCCAGGCACCTCTGCACTTCTTTACAGCAAAAGCACCTAGCTTTGCTTCCTCTCCTTAAACCATAGGACCATGCGTAAAAGCACGGTGTTTCAAAAGCTAGAGCTACAGCTGGAGCTGGCGCTGGAGCTGGTGCTGGAGCTGGAGCTGGAGCTGGGGCTAGGGCTGGGGCTGGAGCTCGGGCTGGAGCTAAAGCTGGAGCTGGCGGCTGAACTGGGGCTCAACCTGGCGGGACTGGGCTGGAACTGAAGCTGGAGCTAGGCTGGAGCTGGGACTGGGCTGGAGCTGGGAACTGAGCCTGGGGGGGGTGGGCTGGAGCTTGGGCTGACACTGAAGCTGCAGCTGGATCTGAACCTTGACCACAAGCTAAAGCTGGGGCTGGCGCTGGAGCTGGGGCTGGAGTTGGGCGTGAGCTGGCAGCTGGGGGTGGAGCTGGGACTAGAGATGCAGCTGAAGCCAGAACTGGAGCTGGAGCTTGGGCTGGGGCTGGAACCGGACTGGAGCTGGAGCTGGGTTGGAGCTTGAGCTACAGCTGGAACTGCAGCTAGAGCTGGGCTGGAGCTGGAGCTTGGGGTGGAGCCATAGCTGATGCTGAGCTGGAGCTGGGGCTACAGTGGAGTTCTGGCAGCACCAGGAACACCAAACGATAGACAAATGGCTCGCTCTGGGCGCTCAACATCAATCCCCTGAGTGGAGCTCGGGCAACATGAATGCTGGACAAATGGCTTCTGACACGCCAAATCATGTCCGGGAATGGAGTGCTGGCTTGCACCTGGTCGGTGAAACAAAATCCAAGCGAAGGACCCAAACATATGCAATTGTGAATACCGCGTTGTGGGTACGGGTTTCGGTGGAGCTCCCTATGGGGCCACTATCCTCGTGAGGGCTCTGCCGAAATGGGGCGGCGCTGCCGTGCGAACTTTGGCACAGAGGCCTTTGGTGGAGCGCCCTGTGGGGCCACGATCCTCGTGAGGGCTCTGCCGAAATAGATTCGGTGCCGCCATGCGAACGCGGCTGCTGGGCCCTTTGGTGGAGCTCCCTGTGGAGCCACCATCCTCGTGAGGGGTGTCCCCCAATTGGCGCGGTGCCGCCATGGGAACGCGGCCGCTGAGGCCTTTGGTGGAGCGCCCCATGAGGCCACGATCCTCGTGAGGGCTGTGCCGAAATGGGAGCGGTGCCGCCATGGGAACGCAGCCGCTGGGGCCTTTGGTGGAGCGCCCTGTGAGGCCACGATCCTCGTGAGGGGTGCTCCGAAATGGGCGTGGTGCCGCCGTGCGAACGCAGCCACTGGGGCCTTCGGAGTCCATGAGGCCACGGTCCTCGTGAGCGGTGTGCCGAAATTAGGGGGCAAACAGACCTACCTCGCTTTTGACCACCCTCGCTTCCAAAATATACCAAGCGATGCCAAACTACGGCCTGTACTGGTCAGGCCGCTTGACGAGGAGGCGCGTGGTATGACTTGGTTTTGCCTAGAAGCGAAAGCGGGGTAGGTAATTCACGCTCTAAGAAATGGGCACGGTTCCGCCATGCAAACGCGGCGGCCGCTGGGGACATCGAAGGAGCGCCCTATGGAGCCACGATCCTGGTGAAGGGTGTGCCAGAATTGGTTCGGTGCCGCCATGCGCACGCGGCTGCTGGGGCTTCTGGCGGAACTCCCCGAGGAGCCAACGATCCTCGTGGGGGCTGTGCCGAAATCGGTCACGTGGGCCCTCGGTGGAGCTCCCCATGGGGCCACGATCCTCGTGAGGAGTGCGCCGACAGGGGATCGGTGCCGCCATGCGAACGCAGCCACTGGGGCCTTCGGTGGAGCTCCCTGTGGGGTCACGAAGTGTGTAAGGGTCTGACGCAATGGCTGACACACAGAGGGCAGAGGGGCAGAGGCATGGATGGGAGGAGGGAGGGAGGGGGCAGCGGGAGGGAAGGGAGGAGACGCGGGGCAGTCTCTTCAAGAAGAAGACCCAACACCACAGGATGGTTGGGACTGTCCAGGAGGTGAGCCCTGCAATGCGACAAGGCAACCAACTGTCAGGGTTGCACGCGGATAATCAAGATAAACTCCAACGGTGTGAAATTCTGATGACACGAATACCCAGCCGACCGTGAAGGTTGGGGCCCGAGGAATAATCAGTCCCGGGAGTGAGCGCAGAACCAGGAGTGCTCCACCCACCAGCCTGGTGGCCCTAAGCTTGAAGCAAGCAGTGCGGAGCCCTCTAACAAGCTTGGCTCGGGCAATATGCCCACAAAACATCGACCCTCGACCCCCCCAAACGCCGACGATTGCGGTACAGTAGGGGTCCGTCCACAAGAACCCTTCCACAAGAAACCCAACCCTGAGACCCCAGGACGTCGACCGATGTTTGGTGTGGTAACGTCGCGCTTTCCATAGCAAAAACCAAGAGACCCAGGGCCCCCTGGACGCAAGCAGGGTGTTTCTTGGCATGGGTCTCCACTGTAAACCTCTGGCTCGGGGTCCTCGTACGTGTGCGCGACCACGTGCACGAAGTTGAAATCTCGCAGCGCGTGCGCCTGCCACGCCAGCGGCGCCCAGATGCTGTCCACCTTCGCCGGACGGGAGACGGATACCCCCCCCTTCGTGCGTGAAGGGCGTAACGGCTTCTGCTGTCCCTTGGCTCGCGCTAGAGCGTCCACGACTGGCTCCCATGAAGATTCCTGGATCCACGCCGACGTATCCAGATGTATACCTCGATTTACCTGGATCCGCCTCAGCGTATCTGGCCTGATCCCCGCAGGTCGACGGGAGAGAAGTCGGCAAGCCCTTGGGGGCCCCTGGATGCAAGAAGACTCCGCGCTCGTAGTACGCTTCCTCGCTGGGGCGCAGGACGTCGCGAGGTGCGCCCCCAGCTTGGAACGCCAGCTGTCCTCGCGCGGTCCGCGACGCGCCGCTGCACGAGCGGACTCGACCCCAGACTTGTTTGCTACGTCGAGTCTGCAAACGAAGCAGATAATATTATGTTTCTGCGATATTCCCTACCTAGGCTCTGCCTAGAAGGGTTCTGACTCTCTTGGCTTAAAGGGCCGGGCAGTGCGAACCGGCCTGGGCGGTTCCACCAGTATCCGCCCCGCGGTTCCCCCAGTTACGTCCCCTTAGCTTAGCGTTGCTTATCTCATCTTAGCTTAGCTTATTTCATCTTAGCTTAGCTTAGCTTCATCTTAGCTCAGATTTATCTTAGCTTAGCTTACCTTCATCTTAGCTTCGCTGAGCTTTAGCATAGCAGAGCACAGCATAGCATAGCATAGCGCAGCATAGCATATCATAGCATAGCCCAGCGTAGCATGGCATAGCGCAGCATAGCATCCGTCGTCGTCGTCGTCGTCGGTCGTCGTCGTCGGTCGTCGTCGTCGTCGTCGTCGTCGTCGTCGTCGTCGTCGTCGTCGTCGTCGTCGTCCCCCCCGCCTAGAGCAAACAAAAAAACGGATCCGTGGGCGACGCCGCCGATGCCGCCACTGCCGCCGCTGCCACCTGCTCCTCCTCGACATCCTCACCGTCATCCAGCTCCTGGTCCTCCTGCCCCGGATCTGTGGGTGTATTTTGCGGCGCGCACAGCACAGCATGACATAGCATAGCTTAGCATAGCATAGCATAGCGCAGCATAGCATAGCATAGCATAGCATAGCATAGCAAAGCGCAGCTTAGCATAGCGCAGCTTAGCATAGCATAACATAGCATAGCATAGCATAGCATAGCACAGCGCAGCATGGCATAGCATAGCTTAGCATAGCATAGCATTGCATAGCATAGCATAGCGCAGCACAGCATATAAAAGCATAGCATAGCGCAGCATAGCGTGGCATAGCATAGCATAGCATCGCATAGCAACTAATGCTGCTTTCCTAGGGGTTCCAACTTCTAGGTAGGGTCGCACTGGGGTAATTTCTTATAGAAGATTGTGCATTACATATACCATAATGCACTCGAATGTCTACACCTATATATATACATATATATATGTGTGTGTGTGTTTACACATACGCGTGTACGTATATAAGGATTAGTATATTCCCGACCTAGGCTCTGCCTAGAAGGGTTCTTACTCTCTTGGCTTAAAGGGCCGGGCAGTGGGAACCGGCCCGGGCGGTTCCACCAGTATCCGCCCCGCGGTTCCCCCAGTTACGTCCCCTTAGCTTAGCGTTGCTTATCTCACCTTAGCTTAGCGTATTTCATCTTAGCTTAGCTTAGCTTACCTTCATCTTAGCTTCGCTGAACTTTAGCATAGCAGAGCACAGCATAGCATAGCAAAGCGCAGCATAGCATATCATAGCATAGCCCAGCGTAGCATAGCATAGCGCAGCATAGCATCCGTCGTCGTCGTCGTCGTCGTCGTCGGTCGTCGTCGTCGGTCGTCGTCGTCGTCGTCGTCGTCGTCGTCGTCGTCGTCGTCGTCGTCGTCGTCGTCCCCCCCGCCTAGAGCAAACAAAAAAACGGATCCGTGGGCGACGCCGCCGCTGCCGCCACTGCCGCCGCTGCCACCTGCTCCTCCTCGACATCCTCACCGTCATCCAGCTCCTGGTCCTCCTGCCCCGGATCTGTGGGTGTATTTTGTGGCGCGCACAGCTCAGCATGACATAGCATAGCTTAGCATAGCATAGCATAGCGCAGCATAGCATAGCATAGCATAGCATAGCAAAGCGCAGCTTAGCATAGCGCAGTTTAGCATAGCATAACATCGCATAGCATAGCATAGCATAGCACAGCGCAGCATGGCATAGCATAGCTTAGCATAGCATAGCACAGCGCAGCATAACATAGCGCAGCTTAGCGTAGCATAACATAGCATAGCATAGCATAGCACAGCGCAGCATGACATAGCATAGCTTAACATAGCATAGCATAGCATAGCATAGCATAGCGCAGCACAGCTTATAATAGCATAGCATAGCGCAGCATAGCGTGGCATAGCATAGCATAGCATCGCATAGCAACTAATGCTGCTTTCCTAGGGGTTCCAACTTCTAGGTAGGGTCGCACTGGGGTAATTTCTTATAGAAGATTGTGGATTACATATACCATAATGCACTCGAATGTCTACACATACATATATATATATGTATTTATGTGTGTGTTTACACATATGCGTGTACGTGTATAAGGATTAGTATATTCCCGACCTAGGCTCTGCCTAGAAGTGTTCTTACTCTCTTGGCTTAAAGGGCCGGGCAGTGGGAACCGGCCCGGGCGGTTCCACCAGTATCCGCCCCGCGGTTCCCCCAGTTACGTCCCCTTAGCTGAGCGTTGCTTATCTCATCTTAGCTTAGCTTATTTCATCTTAGCTTAGCTTAGCTTCATCTTAGCTCAGATTTATCTTAGCTTAGCTTACCTTCATCTTAGCTTCGCTGAGCTTTAGCATAGCAGAGCACAGCATAGCATAGCATAGCGTAGCATAGCATAGCGCAGCATAGCATATCATGGCATCGCCCAGCATAGCATAGCATAACGCAGCATAGCATAGCATAACATAGCGCAGCCCAGCACAGCACAGCATGACATAGCATAGCTTAGCATAGCATAGCACAGCGCAGCATAGCATAGCGCAACATAGCATGACATAGCATAGCATAGCATAGCATAACATAGCATAGCGTAGCAACTAATGCTGCTTTCCTAGGGGCTCCAACGTCTAGGTAGGGTCGCACTGGGGTAATTCGAATCCTCGGGCGTACACATCATAAGTATCGATGCAAAGCTCCAATACAATGTTCGAATATTCTACGTCTTTGAAGTCGATTCTACGACCGAGCAGTGCTGGATACAGCAATTCTGTAGCCGATCCCCTACTCGAAAGGAGAGTCCGCCGACCCCAGCTGGCAGGGGGTTGCAGAGGCGTGTGAGGCATCTGGCTGTCCGCCCCCCGGAGACGGAGCCAGAACCAGGGCAGAATCCGACTGGGACCCATCTCGGGGATCCCTCAGATCTGGTGGCGCTGGAGCATGCACTTTGCCGGGCGCCGCGGCCATGCCGGAGCGCTTCGGAATGCTCTGGGGGGCGTTCCAGACTTCTCTGAAACGGTTTACCCCACCCAGATGGTCTGGTACCGGAAATTTTCGGTAGCGATTTCGACGCACCCCGAATTTCGGTAGCGACCGGATCTTCGTTTGAGGGCGTTGAAATAACGGATTTCAGAACGGTCTGATACCGGTATTGGGCGCTACATTTCGGTATTTCGGTAGCGACCGATCTCTGCGGAGCGCTACCGGAAATTGTCGGTAGCGGACCATCAGGGCAGCTCCCCGCCTGGTCGGACGAAACATGCGCAGTAACACAGGAGTGGTCTGCGCATCAGCTGGGCGAAGTGGTGTGCGAATCAGCTCGGCGCCTCCCGGCGCCAGGGGGCTCTTGCGCACCGAAATTGAAGGGCCCCGGAAGCTGGAATTCAGGACAGATGCCCTGCCGGAACACATCGGAGCGTCGGATAAGACCATTGGGAGACAACCTTCTCCTCCCGAGCTGCGCTGTGACGCCCCCTAGGGGGCCCGGCGAGGGCCCTCCCGGGGGCCCAGAGGCCGCCGGCCCACCCAAACCCCCCGCCTCGAGTTTCGCACGGCGCGCGGGGATCCGGGGTGGAGCGCCTCCCCTGCGACCAGACAAAGATGCAGCAGCGCGAGAAAGAACGCCCAGAGCCCTGGAGCCCATATCTTCCTGCGTGACTTGTCGAGGCGGGTCGACCTGTGGGGGTCCAGGGGCCCGAGATCAAGCGGAAACACCTGCTGCGTGACTTTTCTAGCCGGGTCGACCTGTGAGGGTCCAGGGGCCCGAGATCAAGCGAAAACACCAGCTGCGGAAAAAATCAGCGCCCGGATCCGAGGGTTCCGATCAGTCGGCCGTGATGATGATGATGATGATGATGATGATGATGATGATGATGATGACGATGATGATGATAATGAAGATGATGATGGTGATGTTGATGCTGATGATTATGGTGATGATGATTATCATGGTGATGGCGATGATGAAAATGATGATGATGATGATGATGATGATGATGATGATGAGGATGATGATGATGATGATGATGACGATGATGATGATCATGGTAATGGCCATGAGGGTGGTGATGCAGACGGACAGGGAGTGCGGAGAGCAGAGGCAGGGAAGGGAAGAGGAGGAGGGGGGAAGAGGAGGAGGAGGAAGAGAGGAGACGCGGGCCGCTGCCTCTTCAAAACGAGGACCCAACCCAACACCACAGGATGGTTGAGAACAAATTGCAACGCCCGGATCCGAGGGTTCCGATCGGACGACGATCGTTAGACAGGTTTTCCTATGGGACACCAACTCGGGGTGTAATGGACGCTCCGCGGCAAGAAGACCACAAACGAAAAGAGCGTTATTACAGAGAGGACAGGGAACCTTTCCGTGTTTCGTCTCTCGCCGCCATACAGGAAGTCTTCTCAGGGTCTCTGTCCGGCAGTGCCCGGCGGCAAAAGGCGCCTCCTGAGGTTCCATCTGCTGCCCTCCCCCTCCTCCTCCTCCTCCTCCTCCTCCTCCTCCTCCCTCCTCCTCCTCCTCCTCCTCCTTCCCTTCCTCCTCCTCCGCTGCGGAACAAAAATTTGCAGCGCCCGGATGCGAGGCTTCCGATCGGCCGCCCACCGACGCCACCAGGTGCGCGCGCGGCAGCGTCGCCAGGACCGCCACGTGCCGCTGCTGCGCCTCCCGGGCCACGGGAGCCCCGCTGCTGCTGCTGCTGCTGTGCGAGGCCCCTCGGAGGCAGTCGGAGGCCCTCCCTCGAAGGCCGTCGCTGCGGCCAGGGGGGGGGATTGTCCCGTCGTCGTCTCCTCTCCTCCTCCTCCTCCTCCCCGCTCTTCCTCCTCCTCCTCTCCTCTCCTCCTCCTCCTCCTCCTCCTCCTCCTCCTCTCCTCCTCCTCCTCCTCCTCCTCCTCCTCCTCCTCCTCCTCCTCCTCCTCCTCCTCCTCCTCCTCCTCCTCCTCCTCCTTTCTCGTCTGCTGATCAAAAAAACGCCCAAAAACCGGCAACAAAAGCACTGCAAACACGGCACTGGCAGAGACAAGCTGCCCTGCCGCTGCCGGGGCCGGAGGTCTGGGGCGCTGTGCCTGGCCTCCGGCATGACGTCCAGGCTGTGCACCACGAAGACCAGGGGGCGGATGGCGCCCTGTGCGCACGCCGCCGCCCGTGCCGCGCGCAGCGCCGCGAGGGCCGACTCCACGGACGTGCCTGGCGACGTGCCGGGGTACCTTGGGGATTGGGGGTGGCTTACCGGGGGAGGAGGAGGAGGAGGAGGAGGAGGAGGAGGAGGAGGAGGAGGAGGAGGAGGAGGAGGAGGACGAGGAGGAGGAGGAGGAGGAGGAGGAGGAGGAGGAGGAGGAGGGGCGGTCATACATGGGGGGGTCAGACACGGTCCCCTCTCGTGCCCGTTTCGGGCCTCTCCGGAGCCCCAGGGGGGCTCGTTTAGGCACCGTCTGGGTACCTTTTCGGGCCACCCTCGCCACCCCCCCGTTTATGACCCCCCGCTACACGCAACGCCCCAGGGGAGGCGAGAAAGGGAACGTGCCGGTGCCGCTGCGCGGGTGCTCGTCCGCGGGGGGCGATCAGGAGCGCACGCCCGTCTGGCACCTTTTGGGCCGAAGAGGTGGCGGTTCCGGGGCCGCTTGCTGGGGCCCCCACGTTGCCCCTCTCGAAGGGGCAAGGGGGGGGGGGGGGCCCACCTTGCCCCTTTCAGAGGGGCAGGGTGGGCAAGGTGGAGGGGCGAGAACTGCAGAGCACAAGTGTCCCAAATCGGGACGCTTGTGTTCTGCAATTCTCGCCCCTCCAGCGTGTGTCGCCCCCCCCCCTGGTGCCGCCCGCCCGAGCTATACTCGCCGCCAAGACCTGCGCACCGCCCAGCGCGTGTCGCGACCGCGGCCCCGGCGACACGCCGTGCCCTGCGAGCGGATAGCGCGTCGCTCCGCTCCGCGGGGCGGGAGGCCCAGAAGAGCTCGGGACTTCCCCGTGCGAGGACGAAGACGTGGCTGGCGTGTCGCGCCGAGGCGTGGTGGGCCAGAACAGGGCGGCGCCACGCGCTAAAAGCAGACGTTCTGGACCGTCCGCGCCGACACCGCTGCTCTCCGGAGCTCTCCTGGGGTGCGCTCAAGCCTGGGGCCTCGCAAAGAGTCGAGACGCGTGGCGACGAGGGACGGGCCATCGGCGGCGTCAGCCCAAACATGCAATGTTCTTCCCCAATCAGTGATTGCACTGAAGGGGTCCTAGCTTGAAGGTCGCTGGGGGGGCAGCGTTGTTTCCAGGGCCAATTCCCCGTACGCTCGGCGGGCGCGCTTGATCGGTCAACAGCAATCCTTCCAGCCGCCCTTCGCGAGAAGCTCTGATCTCAGGTTTGCTCTTGCCGACGATTGGGCTGCTCATGCTTGCTCTTGCCCTACAGAAGCATTGCCATCTCCCCCGTCGCCCCAGAAACACAGATCGCGTTCGCTGCCCCTCAGCGAGCCTCAAGTCCTAGGGGAAGTTGAAAGATTTGGCAAAAGTTCCCCGTCGACTTTGGTAGCACGCTGGCTTCCCGGGTTCCTGGTTCCTGGCTCCCGGGTTCCCGGTTACCGGGTTCCGGGGCTCCCCGGCTCCATGTCGCTCTCCTCAGCGAAAGCCATCCACTGATTGGGACTTTTCTCTGGTGCAGTTTTGTGTTTTTCACTGCAGGGTCCCCCGGAAGTCCCGACCCTGCCCGAGGGCCCGTGCGTCGTCCCGAAGAGTCGCTTCTCGACGGCAGGGTCGGCGCAGGCCCCCCCCCAGAGAGGCCGAGAACGGTCAGGCCCGCTCGTCGCACGCTTCCCAGCCATCCTGTGGTGTTTTGGGCCCTCGTTTTGACGAGACGACGCCCCGCGTCTCTCGTCGCACGCTTCCCAGACATCCTGTGGCGTTGGGCCCCCGTTTAGACGAGACAAGCCCCCGCGTTCCTCCCTCCTCCTCCTCCTCCTCCTCCTCCTCCTCCTCCTCCTCCTCCTCCTCCTCGCCCTCCTCCTCCCATCCCTTACCTCCGCCCTCCGCATGCCTCTGTTTCGGCACACCTTTCACCCGCTCCGTGGCCTAAGAGGGAGCTCCACCGAAGGCCCCAGTAGCTGCGTTCGAAAGGCACCACCGCACCCATTTCGGTACACCCATCACATCACACGTTTCGTAGCCCCGCAGACAGCTTCACCGAATGCCCCAATGGTTGCGTTCGCATGGCACCACCGCGCTCCACCGAAGGCTGGAGTGGCTGCGTTCGAATGGCACCGCGCCAACCTCGGCACACCACTCACGTGTTTCGTTGTCCCATAGGGAGCTCCACCGAAGACCCCAATGGCTGCATTCCCATAGCACACGCACGCCCATTTCGGCACACCCCTAACACGCTTCGTGCCCCAGTATGGGGGTACCCACACCGCGGTACTCACAACTGAAATATGTTTGCAGGACGCGAGCATGTCTGGGTATATGTTCCCCCTCCGGGCACAGACTCTCGAGCACGTCGCGCAAACACTCCACCAGCGAGAGGTGCCGGTTGTACCCGTCGACCTGCAGGACAGACGCGCCCCACGGGAGCAGCACCTCAGTGGCGAAGCCGTCGAGCATCCTGCGGGTGACGATTTCGCAGGGGGGGTGACGACCTCACGGCCAGAAACTGTACGGCAGGTTCGTGTCGTGCTGACTTCGGCGTTGGTGGTGTCTGACACCGCGCTGGATCGTTCAACCTCGAACGATCGGCCGTTTCCGAAACGTCAGATCCTTCAACATCGACCGATTCTGGGTCGCGGCCAACATTCAACGTAGAACGCCGGCCGCGGGGTCGCCGCCGGTCGACACGACGCGAACCTACCGTACATCCTCTGCCTCTGGACGCGACTCAGACATGCTTGGCGGCGCGCACAAGGGGGTGGAGGGAGGGGGGAGGGCTTCTCAGAAGGAGGCTGCGTCTGGGAAGGCGCCGGTCTTGTACATCTACAGATCAGGCCCGCGCCCCCTAGGAAGCAGGGGTGCTTCTAGGAAGCCCTCCTCCCCCCTCCCCCCACCCCCCTCTGCGCGTGGCCGGGTACAGTCGGGGCCCTGGAGAAGGAATCCTTTTCGTTGGGCAGGGGCTCGGTGTTCTTGATTGTTTCACAGCTTGCCTCAGGTTTTTCCTCAGGCTTTCGATCTGGAATCGAAGTTTAACTTATGGAGAATAGGGGCCTCGTTCCTCATTTAGGGTTCCTTAGTAGGTCAGCGCCCCGACTGTACAGCCTCTGCCTCTGGACGCGACCCAGACACGCACGCGTCCCGGAGAGGCCACG